TCAAACCTTTCAAACGAGATCTAGCTAATTTAGCGAACAGAAGGAGAGTTTTAGAACGAAAAATGAAATTCTTGTTCAGTGGGGAAGTGGCTTTCTGGAATTGGTACTTGGACCACTTTTAGAAGGCCTTGCAGAATTAGGATAAAATAATAAGCATGAAGGGCATCTCCTCATAGTGACAAACGAGCATCTCCCGAACAGTGGAGACTTGAAGACATTCTCAAATATCTTGACGTTGATGATGAACACGAAGCCGAAGAAATCCTTCATTCTATTTTAACCTCTACGGGGATTTTGACTTGGAATGGAAAAGGAGAAATCGTTTACAGAGGACATAATATACGAAGAACTGACATTGTAGACCTTCTGAAATATTGCGTGAAGCCTTATCATCCAGATATTCCCGAATTAACTGGATTGAGCATTTTTATAAAAGGTCTTGCAGAATTGGAAATTGATAAAAGTCTAATCGTAAATGGACATGTCCTTTCTGTGTTAGCCCACAAGTGGTCCCATCAGGATACACAATCTGATGCTGACGTAACTTGTAACAGTTGTAACAAAGATATATACATCTCCCATTTGAGTATGTGTCCCGTATGCACATGGACAGATTTTTATCCGAATTGTAATAGCTGTCGCTGTATGATCTGCGATTTTCAACTGTCCAAAGGAGATTTTACGCATGTAATCGCCAGCTGTCCACATTGTCGCCGAGGTGAAATTATAGATATCAGAACGGATGAAAGGCAGCCTTTTAACCATAAAATAGGCGACCAAAGTGACATTTGATTAGTTGACTGCGTGAAGCTGAACTGAACACATCAACATGCCGAGAGGTACACTTGTTGTAGACGAAAAACTACTGAGAGACCATTTCTTGAGACAGCAGCGTGGTGGAAACATCGCTGGGTATCTAGGTGCACGTTTTCAAAGAGGATACGGGATCGGAGGTATTTTCAAGAGCCTTGCGAGATATGCTATTCCTCTGTTCAAACAAGGTGCTACAGTTGTTGGTAAAAGAGCATTGCAAGCAGCCACAGAAGTAGGTCAAGATATACTCCATGGAAAAAATGTAAGAGAATCTGTAAAGACTCACGGAGGTGGCGTTGTTAAAGACTTTGCCGAACAAGGAGCAAAAGCCCTACTACAACAAGCAGGGCGCGGAAGCAAGAGAAGGCAAGGCCAACGAAGTAATTTATCAACTACAAAGAAGTTAAAACTGTGTTCTCATATAACAGTCCCAAGACATACCAAATGGATTACGGAAGATGAAAGCAGCTATGATGAAGAGCCTGATAGCGAAACTCCTGAAACAAGTGACGATATATATTAGAAGCATAATTTTGTAAAACGTTTTGAAGAAATAAATGTTTTAAAAACTGCAATTTGGTGTGTTAATATATGCATACACCCAAGCGTCGCTAATGACATAACAACGTATTAACGATTACATGTTTTTATCGCAAAATATATTACAACTGTTCCAACTCTAACTTATATTCTTGATAAGCTTACTTATGATATGACTCGGTCATCTTAACAGTATATATGTATGTAGAATATTTGCTAAAATAACGTTGAACAACATGTAAAGATTGACATTAACAACGACGTTGACAACTCGGGATTAGGAACTGTTTAGTTTAAAATATCTCTTGATTCTTGTGACGAGTAGATTCCTCTCTATGGAACATACGAAAAATCCTTCAAATACTCGTAGAAATTAATCTCTTCCGAGCAAAGATACGGCTATAACTGTGCTATATATTAATAATATTGACCTTAACAACGACGTTGACAACTCGGGATAAGAAACTGTTTAGTTCTGTTTAAAATATGTCTTGATTTTTGTGAC